AATATATCGGCTTCTGTTGTTTTTTGAGCCGAGGGTCTCCTGGAAACAGCCTCTCTACCCTTCAGGGTATGGGTAAGGTCTGCGTACATATTACCCTCCCCAGACCCCACGTGTGGGATTATACTGGGTTGTTGTTGTTGTTGTTGTTGTTGTTGCTTTCAGATCTTGTAAACCTCGTCTTCTGAATCATATGTTGTAAGATTCACCCCAACTTTTGCTGCAAAAATAATATCGGATTCCAGTTTGCATGGATTTAAGAAAACAATACGGTCAGGTGAAATGCCAAGAGATAAAACATACTCAATTTCAGCTCGGCTAGCACAATCAAAATTTGAGCCCATAACAGATAAAATTGAAAGGAACGACCGTTCAGGGTTACATTTAATAGCGTAAAATGGACGGATATTTGGGAGAGCAGATTTCCATTGGTCCATAAGAGAAACAGCCTCACCCAAATCTAACACGTAAAAAGGTTGTTTCTCATCTTGTAATTTTTGGGTTATGATTGATAACATGAAATCTTGTAAGGCATCTCTTGAAAGAGGGATGACTTTTCTGGTGACGTTTTCCGCCGCCGCCGCCGCTGTAGGAGAAGCTCCGCCGCCAATTGTGGACTGAAGAATGGCCACCGGGTTCAACCCGGAAACGATGATTATTTGGCCGGCCATCCAAACAAAGGAAGAAAAGAGAGAGGTAAATGAGAGAAAGGAATCAAAGGGAAAGAAAAGAAACTAGGGATTTAAAAACGTTCCTGATTCTCATCCTTGTTTGCCGTTGATCTTGAGGTGGTTTGCGGTTGGTTTGGGGCTGGTTGTCAGAAGGTGGTCGTGTGACTGGTGAGGGGTGTGGTGTCGCTCCCCCTTTTTCCCTTACGGGAGCCCGAGTTTCGACGTTCATGGGAGAATAACTCGTTTCCTTTTGGGAATTTAGGTATTTGAAGAGTCGCCACCTAAAGGATTATGGTGTATTAGGGCACTTAGAGTAATTAACTCATGGACTAGTTTGCATTACCAGAGATTAGGGCAAAGGCTCAAAATAACCTTGAGGGGAAGGTGTTAGGCACCCCTCGCGGTCCACAACGGTGGGTCCCGACCGAACTTAAACTATGTGAATTAGTCATTTTAACAAATAAACAGTTGTAAAACATACTTGCAAATAAATGCATGTTTTGACATTCTAAGTACATGTATGCTTTAGGTAATGGGAGCAAGAAAGAGGTTTGAACAACTTACACATATATAAAGAAAAGTAAATTCATTTAAACAGTGGGAGTTGGGAAAGAGAGGTCCTAGGTTGGTTAGACTACAGGATCATACCCACACAATCATCGGTAATCACTCTTCAATGAGGGGATACACGTGACATTAGCGCTAGTCATCATATCCTTACTACCCAATTCCCTCCCCTTGGTCAAAGCCTAAAGCGTTATAGCAACCTTGAAATATATCTTATGCGTGCACTATCCGTCCCTTCCTTGTGGCCCTGGAGGTATTTAGGACCTCTAATTTAGGTAGTTCTAGACCATCCTAAGGTACCCAAAGGAGAAAACTCTAGGCGTCAATCAAAATAGTTAGGACTGCATTAAAGAGAGAACAATTAAAGGCTCATATTTTACCTGCACAAACAGAACAAGTAAGTATATGTCTCAAACAACAGTTTCAGGTATTTAAGAGAAAACCTTAGAACATGATATATGGTTAAGGAGAGAGTATACAGTATTGAATTAGGACTAATGTTCAAAGATCTGTTCAGTTTACCTACTGATTTTAGACATGTTGAATATGAGCAGTTACAAATACGAGGCATAGTTTTATAGTTTGCAGAATTTTAATCACTCTGCAGGCTTGCCTAGGCGCATAATAGTGATATCCTATGAGCATGGTATCTAATCGTTGATCAGGAATGTAGTAAAACAGTAAATAATTTTTAAACGGACAACTTGGATCCTATAGTCATGCTTTCTAGTAATATTATTTAACGCAATGTTGACGACTATTAAAGAAATGAGTAGGTTAGTTAATCTGATTCAGAACTTACAGGCACGAGTTAAGCTAATTTTAAATCTAACTAAGCTAGTTTTAGATCCTATAAACATGATTTCTAATTGAACATAAGGTGAAACAAGCAGAATTTATTTGACCAAAACGAAATCCCTATAGGCATGACTTCTATTACAACTGATTTTAAATCCTATAGGTGTGGTATCTAATTATTAAAAGCTGATTTTGATCTTATAGGCATGATGTTTAATAAAAGTAAAGCAAGCAGAATTCATTGAAACCAAAGCAGATCTTATAGGCATATTATCTAACAAAATCATTTGAACCAAACGAGCCCCTATAGGCATGTCATCTAACAAACACATTTGAATCGAAATAGACCCTATAGGCATGTTATCTACCCAATTTTACCCACAATATACAAATATCTTCCCTTTTTACTAGTCACCCCAATATTTGTTTATAATTAATTATTACAGACCAAGAATTGAATAAATTACATAAATATAAATATACATTAAACTATAGGGAGCCTGAAGTAGGCCCAAAGCAATCCTAGTTTATCAAGCCTTCACTAGTTTCAAATGCCCAAAGTTCCATAGACCAATTCATGTCTAGGTGCGTCAGAGTTCCCTAAGGATCTAAAGGATTCTGGGCAGTGCTCACACCCAGACCTTTCTCAAATAAGAACTGATTTATGTGCAATGTGGAAGTGTCAGCTCTGATATGCTAGAGTTCAGAGAGACCAAGTAGTACACATACCAGAGAGGTAGGACTTAATGAACTAAGAGAAAGTGAGAGTGCATAATGACTTGACAGAGTTTGGTAAACAGCAGCCAAATGGGCCTTAGTAGTAAAAGATTTTCTAAAATCAATACTAGTTGGGGTGGAAAACAGTTTGAGAAAACATGAAGAACATTTTTGATATCAGATTGCAAGTCACAGAACACACAGTTTCAGAAACATTTTGGGCAAGCAGATTCTTCATAGAGGGAGAGAAGGATTGGGGGACACATAGAATACAGCCTAGTGTATAAGGAAACAGATATACAAATGAGTTTGTGGAATTGACGAGTTAGTTACAAAGATTACAATAAAGACATGTTGATAACACATAAGTCTTAGGCACACAATTAGAATACTTTGTAGGGCTAAATACCTTAACAAGATCTCGTTAGTCAAACTAGAATAGGTAAGACTTAAATAAACAAGCTAGGCAGGCACTTCATGAAGCATTCAAAGTTTAGAAATACTAATCACATATAGAGCAAGCAGGATGTAGACATGCTAGGTGAGACAGTAAGCAAACAACGTAGCTTGGACATACTAGTGAACAAAAAGGTTTCATGCAATTATCTAAAGGCCGAATTGGGCATACTAAACAGTGAACAAATCCTTATGGGTAACTATACTAGTCATAGCTTTTAACAAAACAGAACTCCAATCATGCTAAGTGATACAATAGTTAGGCAGTATAATCTAGGCATGCTGTCACGATCCAAATTTCTCACCCTCGGGAGTCGTGATGACGCCTATTAGTGAAAGCTAGGCAAGCCGACCTTTGGAATTATTTACCCTTTTCCCATTTTTTAATCCTTTAATAATTTAAAGCCAATATTATATAAACAGCGGAAGACTAAAACGTAATATATTAATAAAGGTTCCAATACTAATCCATACATAAACTACCCAATACTGGTGTCACAATTTCACAGACTGTCTAGGAGTACTACAAATAAAGGCCTGAAAGAATTATTACAACACTATCTATGAAATACATGAAAGAAACAAAATAAAAGTATAGAAGGAGACGCCAAGGCCTGCAGACGCCGGAAGGACTACCTCGGATCTCCAGATGGACTGAAGGCAGCAACCCCAAAGCTAAGGTCCAAAAGCTGCCGCACCGGGATCTGTACACAGTGCAGAGTGTAGTATCAGCACAACCGACCTCATGTGCTGGTAAGTGCCTAGTCTAACCTCGGAAAAGTAGTGACGAGGCTAGGACCAGACTACCAAATAAACCTGTGCAGTTAAATCATATACAACAGAAAATAAAAGCAGGAATGTACAGTTAAGAATGGAAGGGGGAAACATGTTACGGGGAAACATCAATGATAACAGAAGGACAGTAGGTAAATATAAGGAACACCATAACTCAATATCAATAAGAAAAAAAAAATCAAACAAGTGCACGAGGGAGTGGTAGCGACTGTCTTCTAGGTTAGGTCTGTTGGTTTTTGTTTGGAGAAGAAGGGTCCATTGGCCTAGTCATTTGAAGGTGGGTGACTGAAGATGGGGTCTTCGCCGGCGGCTGGGTTAGCTGTTTCTCTAGGGTTTGTGTTAAGGAAGATGAATGAGAAGGGTCCTAGGGTTTCTTAGGTGGTGGGGGAGGAAGAAGAAAGGTGATGATGGGTCCTCATGTAAAAAAAATGGCTTCAACTTTTTTTGTCTTAGGCGTTCAACAACTTACGTCTAATGTGTCTACAGAAGAAGATAGGTTTAGGATTGTTTTTAAGTGTCTTTCTAGGGTTTTAGGGGTATTGGGCTTGGGTTATTATGGGCTAGATCCGATTGGACCAAATTTGGCAAAATATACCTTTAAAAGTGGCTCTTTAACTCTAGTAGACTAAAAATATTAGCTTCTAAAATAACAACTACAAAGTTATGAAATCATTTCTAATTAATTCAAGTAAAATTAAAAATTAAAAGTGAAACTATTTTATATCAATTAGCTAAAAAGAAAAAATATTTTTGTAATTTTTATTTTTGTGACAAAATAAAGTAAAAGAATGAAAACTAATTGAAATAGCGATATTAGGCCTAAACTAAATATTTATATGCTAAAATATGTAAAATCTTGGGGAGGGTCAAATATCACATGTCTACAACTGCTCCTCTTTGACTGGAAATACGAAGAGTTTTCAGACAAAGGATGATGAGACAGGTTTTTTGACCCAACTCTTATTTAGAGAGACCAAAAACTAAGAGAAAGGAGAATGTGACCGAGCCCTGGTATCTGAGCTACCTACATATTCTTGGCTATAAAGGAATCAGGCCACGTGTAGTTCAGAAGTAGGAACAGTGATGGAGTATACCGAGGTGACGAGTTGATTGAGGTGACGTTGAGGTTCCGGTCTACGGTTCCTGCCATTACATCAAAAATAAAATGAAAAATTATACCAAAAATAAAAGAAAAAATACAAGATCCTATCTACTTATTGTCTTGAATCTTCTTTGAATCTTCACTTGTCCTTCAACATGAATTTGAAATTCACCTTATTCTTTAGGTGGGCATCCTGCTGACTTGAATTTGAAGAAAACTGGAGGTTGACCCTGTTCTTCAGCCGGGCATCCTGCTGCTTGCAAGTTAAATAAACTTGAACTTGGAGTAGACTTGAGCTTGAAAACCTTGTTCCTCAGGTGACTCGTGTTACTTTTTATTTGAATAAAAAATTGCCCATATTCTCCAGACGGGTTCCTGTTGTCTTTCACTTGAATCTTGAAAATTAAAAGTTGACCCTGTTCTTCATGCGGGATCCTCCTGATGCCTCTGACTTGAATCTTGAAAATTGAAAATTGACTCATATTCTTCATGAGGTAGGCTCCTGATGCCTCTCTGACAAAAAATTTTAAATAAATTCCCTTGTTTTCCAGGTGGGCGCTTGATG